CTTGCTGGGTTATTTATTACTTCGATACTCCTGCACTTGAGAGAAGACATCAATCTTTTGGTTGTGTCAATGAGCTGAAGGATTGTTTCTGTATCTCTCTTTTAATTGACTATTATATGTATCCTAGAAAGAAAAAATAAATATATCAAATTCAAGAAAATAATCACTTAAGAGAAAAATAATTAAAAACCAACATACCACAAAGTGTTGATCTAGGCTATTAATGAATTGTTGCATCTTTTTTTGGCAATCATCATTGTACATGTGTTTCAACGAAAAACTTTATTGATTCTGACTTGCTTCCACGAACCATAGCTTGTAATAAAAAAATTTTCTCAATTAAATATACTTATAAAAAACAACTAATAAAAAAATAGATGTAATAAAAAAAAATCATATCATTTGCTTCGCAAGCGAAATGATCATAACCGAGCCAATGATGTGCGTGGTAATAGAATCGTGAACCCGTAGATTTTGGTTATCTATATTGGATTGTGATCATCAAGTGAAACACACAGATGTCACATGCTGATTGTATTCCATCCATACAACCTTTAAGACATATGATAGTTTGAAATCTTTTCAAACTGCCATGTTATTCTAGCTTGGAAGCTCTCTTTCTTTCGCATATTTGTTTTGGTTTTCTTTTGCGGTTTGTACCAAAAATCACATAACGTAAATGGTACATATTAATTATATATTAGTAAATGAAAAATAAAATTTTAATATTTGAAATAAAAAAATCATACTGAATTCGATCTTACCTAATTCCAGCATGATTATCTCAGACTCTCCTCACAACATTATCATCAGCTTTTTCCTATTCAAATTTTTCCTTGAAGTAAAAATTTAAAAAAGAAAAATTATAGTAATTTCAATAAATAATCCAAAAGTTAATACTAACCTTGAACCTTGAAAATCATGCATCGAATTATGGTTTCCATTTAGGATATTGGAAACCTAACTTCATTGAAACAATGAAATTTTTATCAATGATTTAAAAGTCAATGTTATTGTTCTAGCAGCCTCAATGTTTGTAAGCCTAAAATTGCATTAATTAAATGATATTATTTTTTAAATAATTATTAAACATGTTATTATGAAAGTAAAACAAATATATATTGAAAGGTCATCCTTTTTTTGGGCCTCATACTTGTGGGTAAATGATCCCGCTATGAAGAGAACCCTTTTAATGTTGCGGCATAGCACTCGATGAGCCCGCGTCGTGAGTTAATGCTTGTGCTTTATGTGCCTATTCTTGATCGACATGTAATGACTCATGGTTGTTAGCATCGTTATTAGAAGAACTAGCAGGGATCTTGTCCTCATGACATGTAATAGACTTTCTTCTAGGCATTTACACAAATTAACGAATACAAAATAAATAAGCAATTCCTATTTTTTTTAAAAAAAATTTGGCAGCATCTATGTAGTACAAGAGACTACCTAACATTTTAAACCTGTAAATACACAACATATATGCCACAAACCAATTAATTTTATTCAATTTCTTCAAACAATTTAGCATAATTCAATTTTGTAGAAAAAATTCATTTTTTTACGTGATAATATTTTTAATTATAAATTTATAACAAATTATTATAAATTTAAAATAATAATTAAAATTAATTCTACACATTTAGTTGAAATTGAAGAACAAAATTGAAAAAAAAAAACAACTAAAACTCAAAAAAATAATGCAAAAATTATTATAATAACAACTAAAATTCAACACAATTTTTTCTAAGTGATAATATTTTTAATCCTAAATTTATAAAAATTTATTCTACATGGAATAAATACAAAATAATAATTAAAATTATTCCTACACATTTAATTGAAATTGAACAATAAATTGAAAAGAAAATAACTAAAATTCAACAAAACAATGCAAAAACAATAACAACTAAAATTCATGTCATTTATTAATTCATAAAATTATTAAGAACACAAAATTAAACAAATATAATGCAAAAAAAAAACACAATCAAAAGAAGAGAAATGAATGAGAAATTCTTACCTTAATTAATGACATGCTTCATTTTAACTTTTAATTAAAAACAAAAAAACAAAAATAAATTATTAATAAACCAAAAAAAAAGAAATAAAAATGAAGATACACAACATATCTTAAGATGAGAAGGTCTGTCTCTAATTAGATTCTGTATTTTATTTTTTATTGACATACAATTACATATTAATATATTTAATGATTTCATTGGTAATTCTAGTTGCAAAATTAAATGGAAATTTTTAACATGCATAAATTTTTTCAGAAAACTCATTTAAATATTACCGATGACTTCTTATTTTGCTGGTGATGTTGTTGGGGAAAAAAGTGAACAATAAAATGATCATTAATTATAACTACATTGAGAAGTGAATAGTTCTCATTGTCTTTAGAATATATTGATAGAATATATTTGTCAGTATATATGTATATAATGAATATTGTGAACTGTGTCAGGGTGATGGGGAATAATTCTCATGGTTTTTGGAGTATACCAATGATATATTTCATTAGTATACCCATATGTAAGGAACACAGTGAATAGTGTCAGGGTGAAAATGAACAATTCTTATGGTCTCTTAAATATACCATGAACTATGCCTCCAACTTTTACCTCAAACGATAAGTGTATAGGTAGATGCTTAATCAAATCGAAAAACAATAAAGAGAATATCATTTCAAATTTACATATTGCCTGGACAATACTTATTTCAAGTCTCTCCATGTACCGTGTTTGCAACTTGTTAGAGTATGTATCTCTAAAGAAGTGACTGATCTTCATAAATGCATCCTATATCTCATTTGAAAATAAATCCAAGCAAGCTACTGGAATGAGTATTTGTATAAATATATAACATTCATGACTTTTCATTCCATACAATCTATAATATTTTAAATTCACTAACTTTGATATAGTTGAGATATGTTCATTTAAAAAACACAAATTTTAAACCATTGGTAGATAAGTAACTATGTATTCTTGTCTAAGATGAAATTGACTTTAAGCTTTGTGACCTATGACTCAATATAAACTAACTTCATATTCTTACAGTGACAAAACAAAACTATATTTATTTTAGTTTTAATGTTATCTATTGTCTTTCTCTTCATGTCTATAATCATGTTAAAAATATTTTCAAATATATTTTTTTATGTAAATATCACATAAAAAATAAAATATATAATATAATTATTGATAATGATAATTATATTAATATTACTAACATATAATTTTAGTTAGAAAGTTTAACTTGGCTGTCACTAAATATGCTAAATGGTATAAGTTTAATGGTTGAATAAATGTAATAAAGTTTGGTGAATAAATAGATTTTAATGATGATATTTTATGAAATAATATTATTTCTATATATATTGCACGCCTATCGGAGAAACAAAATTTAAAGCTGCGATTATAGCATGCAATAATTCCTAGCTAACTAGTGTTCTATAGGTAGTACCGCGGAACATGCAACAGACAATACCACTTTAAACATCCACAAATCGCACCTGAAATCATAAGAATACAAATCTAAAATCATAATTAACAAAGTTGTTGGTTATATATATATATATTGCAATTGAGCCCTGCAAGGTGAATTAGGTCAAGCACAAGGCCTATTGTTTATCCCTCGGTTTAAGAAAGAATTATAGGTGGTTCAAGAACAATAGGTGAATTGGTGGTTCAAGCACAAGGCCTATTGTTCTTCAACCACCAATTCAATGTATACTTCTTTCTTAACCCGAGAGACACATATAACCAAAACCTTACGTTATGTTATCCAATTTCTTCCTTCCTGATCCTGAAATTGGAGAATTCCGTGACCTGTATCTAGATTTTTGCGCAAACCAACAATGAGATCTACGTAAGCATTGAGTATGAACTTGTGTGACGTTTTCTCGTTCACATTCAAGTAACAAAACAAAAGTTCTTCCATGAAATCCCATTCAACCTTCCCATTATTCTGCAATTTCTCTTCCACCATTTCTTGCATGGACTCTCGAAAATCATCGTAGGGACTCGGAGAGTCGGTTAGCGCTGCTGCGATGCAGTCATCTGGTAGCCTAACCTGCTTTATATCATTAGAAGCAACTGTGGCAGAGGCTTCATTGAGGTTGTTGTAGCAGGTTGACATTGACGTTGAGGTTGAACCCATGTTCCTGGAGGTGGCTGTTAAGCTGGATCGTGCCTCCTCTACAAGTGAACTGGATGGTCCCGGCGTCACAAAGAATCGATGGGAGCTGCAAAGGTCCAGTGGTGGATCAAGGAACCTAGGTGAATCAATTAAAATCTCTTGAGAGCTTCGAGTTTGATCAGCTCCTCTAGATCTATGGTCACTTCCCTTTTGATAATTTCCATAGTCATCACTGATATAAAGTGAGCTAAAATTCTCGGAAAGGAAGCGATCGACATCAGAGAGTGTTGCTGAGACGCCCTTATTGATCTCTCCTTCTTCATTATGAATCTCATTTTGCTTACGAGCAATGGCAAAGGACAGCGTTCTAGGTCGTTTGCAGCCTCTTAAAACCCGTTTCTTTGAATCAGGATAAAAATGGACATTTTGGATAGGGTTTTTGATCTTATAGAGGCACTCTTGGATAGATTTTCGGAGTTTCTTTGACATTTTTTTTTATTGGCTTGCTTTGAAGTTTTTCGGTGAGAAAACAACAAATAATGGGGCTAGGGTTTATCGGGGAAAAAAGTGGAGATGGTAATGCTTTTAAAACTAGCAAATTATGGATGGAATCATAAAATATCAACGTTTCATATATGCAAATTTTGAAGGCGTCAAGTGCGACTCCTCAACAAGAAAAAGAAAAAACAAATGCTGGGTTCAAGGATTTGGCAAGAAAAAGGGACAATAATTAAATGCTAGAATTCCTCACAATTGACCTTCCATGGAAGATTTTGAATGTAGTTACAAGCTCATGCATTGAGGTTTGACCAATCGAGGGTTACACATACTTTCGTTGTTTGGATTCTTGAGCGACTAAGAGGCACGATTAAGCAAATATATCCAAAAACTGAGATTTACTTTGACATTTATGTGTTTAAATTAATTGTAAATCTAAAGACGGCAATAAACCACATTTCTTGTTCTGTTTTGGTGTTTCCTTGTGATTCTGATCTTGCCATATTTATTTGAAGCTTACTTTCCATATTTATAAATCTGGGTTTGATCAGGGATTTTCATTTATGACTTTTGGGAAGAAGTTTGTACTGGTTTACACCCATCTGTTTTTCTTATAAATTCCTGTTCTTCATTAATTATAATTTATATTGTCATATAAAATTTTTATATGTATATATATTTACCATTACCCATATTTCTCATCTTGAAAAGTTAGGCAAACATCATTTCAGCAATAATTAGTGTTCATTTTTTTTTTATTTGAACATTTTAAGAATGGAAAATGGGATCAAATGGGAGTGTTTTTTCTTTCAGTGATGGGCAGGGCTAGGGCTTGCTGCCCTAAGTCATAGACTTTAAATCCTTTTAATTATAGATTTGAGTTAGATAGGTTGTATTTGCGCACGTGGTTGTAATTATGTTTTAAAATATTTTTTTATTTTAAAATATATTAAAATAATATTTTTTATTTTTAAAAAATTATTTTTAATATTAATATTTCAAAATTATATAAAAATATCAAAAACATACTAGTTTAAAGTAAAATAAAAAAATAAAAAAATTTAAATTTGTTTTAAAATATTTTTAAAATATAATATTAAAATAAAACACCATACTAACCCGTTGGTACAATAACCGCTATTAAATATTTTGATAAGTTAAATTATAAATAAATACTTTTAATTTAATAACACTAATTAATTTAGTTTTTATATTGAAAACTATATATTTAATCCCTATATTTTAAAATTCTCCTATAATCCCAATCCTTTCGTTTTCTTTTTTCTTTTTCCTTTTGGCAATACCTCAATCCTTTCTTAACTTTCCATTATTTTCTAATTTTAATTAGTAAAATAAATAATATGGAATAAAAGTAGATCACTTTTTTTTTTCCAAGGAAATGTATATTTTACCCTAATCTTTTTCCCAAATGGTATGGAATAATAGTATTGTTGGAGTTGATACACAAATCATTTAAAATACAGAAAGTGGAGTAGGGTGATTTTTATTAGGAAAGAAAGCATTTCTTAGGGCAAAATAAATTGAGGATAGTCAACGTTGGTCAAAAGATCAATTAAATATTTTTTTTATTATATACTGACTAATCAATTAGTTTTGATAACCTAGAGGGACTAAAGTATAGTTCAGTCGTATTTTGAAGGGCTAGAATATACAGCTTTGTGGTATCCATATCATGTTTTGGCAGGATACGGAATCTGGAGCGATGGTCAGCGATGGCAAAGAAGAGAGAAGAAGAAGAAGAATCGTAGAAAGAGGGTCGGACCGGATGGCTGTCATCACCGGCCAAATTCAAAGTCTCGATTCGTCATCATCACAAGCATCTTCAACAACATCAAATCATAGTCACCTTGCACATGATAATCCATCATCCCCATCAACCACGGTCTCTCAACATGCTCAAATTGATGGTAGCTTTTGCTCCTGTTTCCTAATATATATATATGTCACCAGAAATTTTGTGAGTCTTTTTTTGTGTTGATTTGGGACAGGAAGGACAGCATTTCAAAAATTAGGCATCATAAATTATCATCTGCTGTGCACTGTGCAGTATTGAGATAAATGAGAACTTGGTTCTCAAAATTTTTCATTGAAAATGGGCACACTTTTTTTCTTTTTTCTTTCTTAAATCTGGATCATGACCCCCAACCCTTCCTTCTGATTTTCCCATGTTGCGATGCTCTTGAGATAGGATTCCTAGGATCCACATAGAAAATAGAGAAGCCAAATTTCAAGACTCCATTAACCATTCTGGAAATCAGTTGTTCTTGTAGCAATATCAGATTCTCCATAGGCATATTAATTACATTAGTTTATGAATTTTGTTCTTTGAATTGATGAAATCCGGTGAAGGAAGACGCCCTTTATTCCAATTCATAATTTGTTACAATTTAATTGAATTAGCAGCTATGCCTATAGGCTATGGCAGAAATATGCGGCCAAATAACATGGATGCTTATCCCTGATCTCAGACCTTAAATTAATAATCACTAATTGTTTTCTTTGTTTTTTGTATGAGTATGCTGAATTTCTTTTCTCAGCTGCCGTAATAGGTTTACCGTCGTAGTTTCACACTTCCTCTGCCCATATTATTACTTCAGAATTATGCCTGGATTGTTTCTATTAAAAGAATTGAACTTGTGAAATTAAGACAAGCCCCTGTATGCTAAACAAGGAGCTGCTTCTGTCAACTTCATAATTTGGTAGCTCAGAGTGGTTTGGTTTGCATAATGAAACATTGTTTTAGTATTCGATCAAATTCTTATCAGTGTGCTGGTGTCATGCATGATTTGTTCTGAAGGTAACAACTACTTGTTTCATGTTTCCTTTTGCTCTTATGGTTGTTACAGCTGGTTCTGGAGGAGCAGATTATGAGTCTGGTTCTAAATTTCTGAAACGAAGGGCCAGCAATGAAGCTTCTGAAGGTATCAACTTTGACATTAGAAACCTAGAACAACATTTACAGGAACGAGTGGCACCTACAGAAGCTCACAACACGATGACCAAAGTACAAACGTTGATAGTGACACCATCAATTCGAAAGGCATCAGATAAGCCTAATTTTTTCTCTTCGAAGAGAATAAACTCCTGCATTATAGCCTCCCAGAGATCTCGTGTTATTTGTTCTCTCATAATAGCTTCTCTCGTGCTTATATCTTACATTGATTATCCACTGCTTGGAATTAACATAGTGAGTTCAGAGAGCATTATAGCCTCTAGGCCTCTTTACATAGTCCTGCTAACTGATGTAACAATTGTGCTTGTCCGACTGTTTCGTGAAAGGGGAAATCATGGCACTGAGGAATCTGAGAGAGAACGAATGGTATCTAAGGAAGATGGAGACAACTGGGTGGGAGCGGTTAAGCTCTTGGAGAGAGGTTTGGCTATGTATCAGGCCGTCCGTGGCATCTTCATTGACTGCAGTGTTTATTTAGTTGTTGTTATCTGTACCCTCTCTCTCTTGTAGTTTTGATAGCAAGATGAATATTCGCAAGCTCTTGGCTGCATGGAGTGTGGATCCAATTCAGCAGAGCAATAATGCTTGTTGTAAAATCCCTGAACTCATTTGTTCATGTCAAATTCCATAAACACCATTACTTACACTGTAATTATTTCCTCTCCTTCATCCCTATATGTAGGAAACCATTTTGAATCAAAGCATCCCTTTTGCAACATTAGAGATAAGTCACCAAAATGAAATTGTCATGCTTTATTAATTGTCAACTCCCCCAATCCCTCGCTGAATATGTATATACATCAACCTTGGTAATGGGAAATATGGTGATTAATCAGATAACGAAATCTCCACGATGTTCTCTATCTAATAAATGGAGATCGCGCTTTGAAATAATCCACCTTTCAATCACCTCTAGTATATGCTTAAACAGGAATTACTCGAGGGTGGATTGACTCAGAAACTGAAGGTAAAACACTACTTTTTTCCCTAGGTAACTTGACAATAGGAAATGCTTATATATTTTGCTGCTCTAGAGAAACAGAGATAATTGGAACATTATGGTACTAAAAGTTACAAATAACATTTCAATATATTATGTGTACAAGTTGATGGCATTAATCTGTGCAAATAACCTTAACTGATAAATTAGTTCTACAGTACAGTTGCAGATAAGGGGAAAGATGGCTGGCGAGCTGGCTTAGCAGGTATACTGGGGCCATGATCAGATCAAACAATAAATATGAGCAATGCGTACTGAGTGACATTGATGAATCCGATTAATTGGCACTAGCAGCATCAGTGGTATAGAGGGCTGCCGAGACCCTTTATCTCTTCGTGAAGAGTAATGCAAAGCAGTGGTAGGCGAGCTTTTATTGGCTAGTTTAGAGGGAAGGCGTATGCCTTCCATATTGGTTGGTAAAGATCATCTTGTTGGCCCAGGGCACTTCAAGTTCAAATCATTCATTCAATGAATTTACGGGCCGATGCAAACAATTAAATTAAAGATTGAGGTTGCCTATGCTTGATCATGGCTGTCTGTGCTTCCAATGACAACCGCAGGTTTTCATGTTTTATTTTGCTTTTTAAGTAAACGCCAAGGAGCTGATATTGTCATAATTTAATTATGCTGAGTCGTGGCATGAAAATTGCATGCCCTTTGTTTTTCATTCTATCCTAATCCAATGCAGAAAATAAAGGGGCTAGCATTTCTTTCTGGGCCATGCTAAAGGGTTGCCTGGGGAGGCTCGAAAGATGCATCAGCTTTACTGTGACTGACTTCATTGCTTTAATATCCCTCTTTTTTTTTTAGTCTTGGGTTCATATTGATTTGGAAAAAGTATGAATTAGAGGGATTGGTGGGCTCTGGGCAACAGGACCACCCTTTTGTGCAGGAAAGAGATCTCTAGTTTTGGGTTTTTCTTTTTTTATTACAACTTCTATCATGATCTACTCTTTTCAGTCTAGCTACACTTGCTCCTTGCAAGGAATCCCATGCAGGTAGAGCTCAAAAAGGCGA